GGAATACGTATACGCGTTCACAGGGAAGACGCGTTTGAGAAATTGCGCAGGACGAGGCGCGTTGCGCGATCCTATCGGTGCTTTTTCGGCGCGGTGCTGGGGTCTTATGAATATTCCATCGATCGCGCGTAAATCGACGAATAATTTACGGAGACGATCATTGTTCGTCTACAACGTGGTGATTAATCGACGCCGCGTCTCCCAGTCGTAGCGTGCTAAGTAGGGGGCCGCGTAGACGAAAGAGAATTTATTCTTCGACTCTCCCAACCCATCATACCTCCCCACCCGTTCTCTCTGGTGAACGGCGAGAGGTGTCTCGTGCTTTTAAAACCCTTGGGATCTCTCTGATTCATGATTCTCGATCAGGCTCCTCGTCGAAACAGGAAGGAGAGAGTTCGCCGTCGGAATGGGCTGCCGGGGGCAACCAAGTAACGCGAATCGTTAATGTAACTGCGGTCATATTTCCGTCTTTTTATTGTCGATTAAATAAACGTAAAAAAAGGATTAGACTCCGTGTAATTTTACGTACCGCGTTCAGATATCTGAACGTTGTGCCATACGTGATGTAATATACAGTGTTTATCGAAACGTTTTAGCATTCTCGATTGTTACTGTACGGATGCGAATTTCGCGATTTTACGAGTGCGATGACGTCTCGAACGAAAGACGCGAGAATATCGAGAATTCCAATTAAATTAAGTTAAATTCAATTACACGCGAGGACAAAATTGAATTCGTAATGTAATAATATCTGAGTGCCTTTAATTTATCCTGCGATCAATTTATCCCCCTCTCCTCGCGACTTATCTTATGTAAGCATCGTGTCTTAACGACGCAAAATTCGTACCCGTTCTAATATTACTTCGACGGGTTGCTAGAAATAGAAAGGGTTTTAATGCGTGTTACATGTGCGAAGTCGACGAGGGAGAGAGCGCGCGCGCGCTATTCGAACGCCCACGGGAAAGCCCCGAGAGCGACAGAATTGGAGTTTTCAGCGCGGGTCGTATTTTGTAAGAGATAATTGTGTCGCCGGCGGCAATGGAATGCCAGTGACACCGGCGATTGCAAAATTTCCAGTGGATTTGGGTCAGCCCGGTGTTCCACGTTCGACGGCGCGTTAATGACAGTCGTGTACATGTGAAATATCGCGCGCGCGCGAAATATCCCAGAAACTTCAAGCCGACACCGATCGCGATAATTAGAGCTTGCTACTGTAATTTAACGTTATCCGTAAGATCCGATACGAGCGGCAATTCATGTATCCGTTAGCTGATGTACTGTATCGTAATTAAACGCAGTACCTATCGCAGTAATTCCATGTGAAATGCAGACTCGCTCGGGAAAGAACGTGATCGGCAATCGATCAATTGAATTGGCGGGTAATGAAAAAATAAAAAGAGAAAAAGTATCCCATAGCGACGTAGCGCGGACAGCAATTGATACTATGTGACGACCGTCTCGGGGAGAATCCAGCGGACGCGCGTGCTAATAGTTTGAATCACTGGTCCGAGAGAATAATTAATTACGCGAATCATTTCTGCCCGTCAGCAACGATCTCTGCTTTACAGCCATCTCGCGAGCGGTTCTCTAAAATATCGCCATTCGCTGTTACGCGCATTCAAGCCGCAAATATCACGAACTGCTCTGAAACAATCGGTCGTCTGGCGTGACATTGCCAGACGTTGTTACGCTGTTGCCCGCCACATCATTTACCCGTGTCTCACGCCATCGACGCGGAACACTTTATCGGGTTATTGAAACTTTTCGCGTCTCCGGGCCTCGACGTTCGAGAACGCGCCGACACAATGCATTAATGAACAAGAACGAACAAACGAACGAACACGCGCGCGAACTACATAGTGCAACGTAGTCGCGCGTGGTCGATCGCGCGTGCAACGCGAACAACGCGCGGCTGGGAGATGCCCGCGTTTCTGTCGCGCTTTATCGCGAACTAGCGGGAGATTCGTTTCCCTCGCTTTCTATTTAAATTCATTAACAGACGAGTGTCCCGCTTCCAAATTGATAAATTGTTCAACGTAAGAAGCGCGAAAGACGCGCTATCTTCGCTCATTAGCGTACGTTATAATTATGCATTATCATCAATTATAAGTTCGTTTAACTGCAAGTTTCCCGCGGCGGAAGGAGACTCTTGAAGATACGCCCGTTACGTTCGAAGGGGATGGACGCATGAATAATAAACGCGACGGAGCCGGCGATAAAGACGGTGCAAGCGACTCACAGTGCGAGAAGAATGATAAAAGCGACGAATAATTAAAGTCGATCGATGAACCGCAGGGGGAATTTTATGACGCGAATTAGCACGATTCTGCATCATTCGCGTGAAACGAAGACGGGAACGTCGACTGCATTGATCGCGAGATATCGACAGAATTGCGATAGCTACGACTGACGGTTTCGCCGTTTCGTATTTCTGCCGGAAGAGGCTTAACGGCTAACCTCGATCAACTCCGCCCGCAATTTTGGTCGTTACCTATAAAAGTATAAAAGAGAATATCTCCCGGTGAAATCGAATACTCGTCGTCATCAAAGGACTTTCAGGAGAAAAGTCAATGGAATCTCGAATCATCTTTGTCGACCACGATAGCGTCGCGGAGTACTCCTTCAATGGAATTTGCTTCTTTCGCGACTATATCCGACAAGATTTTATCATAAAATACGCTCGCGTCAAATATCTCGTATATGAGAAAATGAGTCTTGAACTGATGCTAACTTTTTCAATATATATCAAATTATAAAGAATGTTTATATTGTCGTAATATAGAATACATATTGCGACTTTATAATATTAAAAAAGTTTCGTTAAGTCCGGGATATATACCAGAAGAGGGAATGTCTACACCCCTCTGTACATCTTTCGCCCTCGCTGATTCCACAGCTTGTTGATATTGCTGACGTATCGCTAACACAAAAATACGCGCGTGGAAGGAATAGTGCATAGTGCAAACTGCGGTTTGTTTGTTATCGTGCTGAGATATTCCACAGGACAGTCCTGATACCGTCGGCTCGATATTGCATCGAGACGTACGTATCGGGGGTATCAGGAACGCATTTACCGTTCGCAACCGGATACTTCGGCAAAAAGCACGTCTTTCCAGCACGAAATTTCCAGCGACATGTCTCGCGAGAATCTCCGGGCTAACCTCTAAGACCTCCAGACTGAAAAGTTCGTAGGTTATTCGCCGAATTTCTGCCTGCACTTTCGTCGTTGTCGTCATCGTCGGATTTCGCGTCGACATGCTTCGACGTTCGCAGAATGTCGACTCCGTGTCGCGCTGACAGTGATATATCACGGTGTACGAAGTGTGTCAACAGTTATTCTCAACCCCCTCACACTTATAATGTATCCTATAATGTATCCTTCCCTATAATGTACCCTTCCCTCCTCTCAACGTTAACATTGTTCTTCATTCTTGTTTGAATAGTAGTCCCTGTTTTTTTTTACATCCGACAATTCTTGAAATTCGCCAAGAGGGAGAACAGCGGCCTCTATTTGCCGCAAGCCCGAATATTCGTGTCACGAGCGGTCCACTCGTTGCGTTATAAAACAAATGGGATTGCGAGCCGATTAATTTTAATTTACCTCGATTGTGACCCACTTTAATGTTTCAGATTGCGCGCGATCCCACTTTTGAAACATGATATTCAATTTTACGGGAATTTAATCGAGTCTCCCGTTAAACCTTGGCCGATAAAAAGTTTACTCCGAATCTGCACGGGAATTTCCAACCGGGCGAGAATGTGTTGTTCCTAATACTACCTGTAAATTCCCCACGAGGGCGTATTTACCGTTGCAACTCGATATTTTGAGCGCCAGGGAAGAAGAGTGAGCCCCTTATCGACTGTATACCGTCTCGATGAGTAAGATCGAGACGCCCGTTGGGATCGCGACGATAAATAATCCTGAACCCCCAGATAAGTTCGCGCAGTTGCCTCCGACGAACGATGAATAGCCCCGCGAATGTAGCAAGTCTTGAGGAGTTCAAGTTTATGAACGGAGCAAATATTGGCGAAATAAATTATTATGCTATCGTGCCGGGGCTTTCGCGTTTATTTAGACGGAAGTTATTTCTCTTTGCACCTGCGAGTTATCTGCGACTGCACTGACGGTGTTTGGCCCGTGCGACTTTTAATAAGAGCGCTCTTACATAGCACGAGCTGGAAACGACGAAACAGCCGAGAAACACCGAATTTTTCGAGACATCGGCATTTATCGCGGATATCCGTTGTCGCTTCTGGAGTGATTACGGTGGGACGTTATCGTCCTCGCGACGCGACATCTCGTGGAGTATCGAGACGGATACACGGGATGACCGCTTCCGGAAAGGGACATCGCGCAGGAGACCGAAGTCATATGCATACACGCACATTCGGTACGGAGGACGGGGGAGGGATGGAGCACGGGGTGCAAACACATGTTGGATGGTAACACGCAGGAGATAGCGAGAAACGGGGACGGTCCCTTAGTGGACAAGAAGCACGCACACCACGTCAAAACATTCCACCCTCCGCCATCGTTTTATTGATCGCCAATGTAGATACGCGTCTCGGAACACCGACGCAACCTAATATACACACGGGCGCGCACACGTACACACATACGCAAACGTATACACACACACGCCATGCAACGCGCACGCAAGTGAGCCGTACCTTGTCGGATAACGCTCCTTCCTTCTTGACGACGCGAATTTTTTCGCAGCGTCGTCTCCTCCCTCGTGAATCCTCGTGATCCGTAAGCGAATTCGCGAGATCGTCGCAGTTGTCCGTTGCCTCGTACTCAGGTGATTTTCTGGCTCGCACGAGTGGTCACAATCCCCTTGGCGACACGAGAAACACAGGGTGCGTCGAGACTCGCACGGGGTGTCAGGCTGCGACGGCCATGTTGTGGCGAGGGTGTAGCGCCCCTAAGCGACTCTCTTCGAAACACGGTTCTCTCTCTCTCCTCTCACCTCTCTGTCGCGCACCCTCTCGCACACCCACTCGTCGTTAGTCTGAATGAAATTTTCGATGCGAAAGTCGTTAATCAATCGAGAAACTCGGCGCGATAAACATGTCGTGCAGAATAAAACGATATTACGGTTTGGCTCAAAATTAGTCCGAGTGATTTTTTTTTTTTTTTTTTTTTTAGTCGCAGTTTCTGCGGAGTACACCATCGACCATTGTTTTTCACCGGAAATGTCACAGAAGATTTTTGTTTATTGCAATATATCAATCTTTGACGCCGTGTGTGACTATTAATAAATTTGATTAAAATTTGATTACGACGAAATATCCGTTTGAAATAGACCCAATTGGTATTGATTGGGTTAATCAAATTCCAAGTCAATGAAAGGATCTATATTGACGCGGCAATTTTAGAATCTTCGTACTTTAAATAGAACGTGTGAGAAGCGAAAGACGAGAACTTCCCCGAGAGCGACCGAATAGTCTCGATTACTCGACTATTTTCATCGATCTTCCTCCATCGGAATTATTGTAAAAACATTCTTATCGAAGAACTCTCGTCACGGAATTCCTCTCGATCCTCGTTGACAAACGCGAGCATACGCCCTGCGGAGAAGATAAATCCTTAAATCTTCTTGATATTAGCAAGAATACGTAATCTTTTTACAAAAATTTAATAATGTGGAATTTCAATAATATTATAATTACACTGCAATACATTACAATAGTCCACTAAAGAGCAAACAATATGGTTATTCTGAAAATAATAAATCTTATTGAGACATTGAAGAAAATTATATGAAAAAGATGAAGTGTTGTTTTGAATAATTTTACGTTGAATGTTCTTTCTTCCTGTGTACATGTCGCGTGCAGGACCCCGGCAGCTCGCTCCACCATTTTCGCTTTTCCGCCGGAGCGATGAGACATCGGTTATTGAAGATGTACAAGGAAATCGTTAGTCGCGATTTGTATCGGCTCGCGTGTCGGTTTTATCGGCCGTCCCGTCGATGCCTCCCGCGAGAGACCTCGCCTCTTAAACGTGTAATGAGACACGAGACCTCTCATATTCGGAGCTCACGACCTGTCGCGCCGAAACGCGTGTCGTGTTGTCCCTCCACCTTGCCTTGTTCCCCGCGTAATCACGCGAGATCCTCGAGGAGCCGGGATGTTCTTAATTAAAAATTTACGGCGCCGCGGCGGATAGGGCGGGCGTACGTTTCTGTATAACGGCAGCAATCGAGACGTCGGATTACTTCGCTGATGGGCAGTAACCGCGGATGAAAAATTAATTGCGGCGGTCTCATTTGTTATCCGTCGCGTCTGCCGCTCGACGCAGCATCCCCCGCGGCGATATTTTTTCCGCCGAGGAAGGATGGCCTGAAAACCTGCCGTGGAAACGTGGCGGTTAAAAGGACCACCGCCCTGTGGTCCCGGGATATCTCGTGTATCCTGACGCCGCTGTTCCTCGCAGATCGCATCGAGATTCACGAGACGTCTGCGAAATCTTGCGTAAGGGACGATATGAAAACGGTGCGCTAGAAATAGATGTATCCGCGCGAAATAGCGCGGTCCGTTCGTCACATTGTCAGCGTAGAAAAGATTAATATTTCATAGCGTCGCCGAAGACCATCGGCTTCGCGATGGACCCAGCCGCCGGCTCTCGCTATCGTTTATTCATTCGCCCGATTATACAACACACCGAATAAGCGAACCGTCGCGAAAAATCGCCGGAAAATCGTTGAACTTCGAGTCCTCGATAATAATGCCGTCGTCGCGTCGGTAAGAAGAAGGTAAAGAAAAAAAAAAGCAGAAGAGGAGGAAAGAAGGGACAACGGAAACCCCTCGGAGTGGTTTTTGCACTGCTCGTTTCCGCGCGAGTCTCCGCTGCCATTACCGCCGCCGCCGACGTCGTTTTTCCCTTGTTACGTCTTTTCCCTTTTTCCCGGCCGGTTCGACGCGATAACGCAATCATTCGTGCGCCACGCCAGGTGCGAAAAAAAGGGTCGCGTGAGGACGAGACGTGCAAAATCGCGCCTCTCTCTCTCTCTCGTTTCTCATCGTGAATTTTTCCTATCGTTTTTCGAGCCGTCGCGCCGCGCTAGTTCGGATTGCGAACCAAGTACTCGAGACGGGCCGGTTGCCCCTGACAACCCCGCGAACTTAGATTGTTAATCACACACACAGGTAACGTACACCCCCGCAATACACAATGCTTCGCCGTGAGATGACTTGATAGCGCGGACTGTAATCAACGATAACGAACGCGCGTTTAAACCTTTCCTTACGTTAATTTCTCGCCCTAACTCCTCCCCGTGGCTCTCGATACATTAATGAGGGAAGTCGAAGTTTTGTTTCGCAACCGGAACGTGAACTTCGTGCACCGCGATAACGTATCCCCGAGCGGAATCTTAAATTCCGCCCTCGGACGAAGTACGCACGGCGTTAATGTGATGTTGATACGTGAATATCGCAACTCCGACCGCTCATTATTTCCCTCGGCGTTAAGGGGATGCTATACTCGAAAACTTCGACAGAGAATTCTGATTTCTTTCTGCAAAGTTTACGTCTTATTGATTGTGCAGAGTTGCGAATGGTTTTTCATAGCGAAAGTACGTGCGAAAATGAATCGAAGCATTGCTCAGTATGTGATGAAAATGATTAAAAATTTTGAAATTGACATATCTAGCTGCCAATTAGCGTATTTATCTGATGTACAAATCCCTGCTTTGTTGTACAAACCAAATGTATGGATGTTTCAATTAGGAAAATTTTATACATTTTTATATTTTGAAAATGAAATGTTTACCTAAAAAGATACGAAAAGTTTGCAGGAAAATTTTTTAATGTTTTGGTTGAATTTTTCGTTAAATATGATAGAATAGCTCACATTTATCGCATTCATATTTATATTAGAGATATGCGAATTAAGTACTTTTGATGTCTAATCGAATCGACAAAATTTTGAATCGAATTGAATGAAATCGAATCGAATCATTAAAACATAACTTATAATTAATAACATAATCATTGAATTCAACATGAAGATAACGAGGGGTGACTTCGGTATGAGAGGGTAATAACATCGATTTTGTGATATGAACTCATTTTAAAGTAAAATATGTATAATAGGTCATTATGTATAAAATATCATATATTTAATTATATTTAGAGAATAAAATTCACATTAATGAAATATATTCTATTTAAAATAACAGTAATTGAGACAGTCAGATGGAAGATCATAAGTCAATTACTAAAGTACTTTGAATAGAGTTTACATTATCGTTACATTATCGTCTACAATTAATGCAGAAACTGAACGATTTTAAAAATATACAGTTTTAAAAATACATGATATATTGCGCATCGTAGATATATGTCACATCTGCGAGACTTACATCAGAATAATTATACATTTTTTAATTAAATTATAAATTAAATAAATTAATATTACTATTTAAACTATTTTCACTAAATATTGAAACTAAATTTGATATACGTATATCAAATGATTAAAAATTATCACTAATATCAGTACTTTTCTATTATCCACAGATCCATTTAATATCATGAAAATTTATTAAAATACGCAAATTTTAACAGTATCTGTCTTGCTGATATTTTGAGTTATTACTTTTTATATCTTTGAAGAGGTTCTTCACGTCGATTCGGCTCGAATTCGAATAGTTTGCACACCTCTAGTTTACACTTACGTAGAATATCTACAAGAAATACGACAAAAGCAGCGTGATCATGTCAGTGCTTATGTAACATAATATTTCGCCTCTACATTATCGATACTTATCAATTACATCATCGACTTTAGCAGCGTGGCGTTGGGCCGATTGTGCATACCGACGTGCATGAAGACGTGCGTATTGCCGAATTGTAATGGTATTTGTGAGCCTTCTACCGTGCTAATTAGCGCAGGAAATTCAAGCCGGGATTTGTAAGTAGCGAAATAATGAGCGTAACTACCCGTTAAGCGCGCCGCTGAAACCGGCGGTATTAACGAAGAAGACATCTGAAGTTTCTGAGATCACGTTTCGGGAAACGCTGATACACGTGAGTCGTCGAGAAACAAGAGCGCATTTTCTATGCGAGAAATCCGTTCCGCCGACACGGCAAATTTTAACGTAGCATACGAAGTACGGGCCGAAAGCGCCATCGAGAAATATGCCAAGAAGCCGCCACTGTTCGAGTGTACTTCGGGGTTGTTTTAATTAACTTGAGGTTACCGATATCGCCTGAAAAGGGCTAGTTATCGACCAGGGCCGGCTGAAATTATTTTCGACTAGATTCTTTCGGCCGCCGTCGCTCGTAGGGAATTACATAAAAGATATGTCGGCCCTCCGGATTTTATTCTTTCAACTGCCCTCGATTCTCCCTGGATGCTCTCTCGCTCTCTCTGTCTCGCGCATGCTCGAGCTTTACTTCTGAAATTCAATCTCGTTATAAGACTTTCATTGTATACGATCGCAGTCGCATCCGGCCGTGTTGCAGTTCGCGAGTTTTGTGGCCGCGAATACTTTCTGAAAGGTAGTATTCATTTCGGACAAAGCAACTCGAGCACTCTCCATCCACTCCTTGTCTCGCAACTTTTGGTGCTGTGCGATGAGGAAAAATATTGTCCAAACAATCGATCGCGGATTGTTTCTTCAATTTGATTCTCATTAAAAGTAGTGGCGCGGCGTGTAGTATATACGGCGCCCGGTCGAACAATTTCCAAAGAAACCGTTTCTTAATACTGGAATATTTTTAAGATATCAAGTTGGCTTTCACGAGGATAACAACGAATGTCGATAATTGCAGAACTGTTACGAGACGGACTGCTTGTTGTTGTTGCTTCGTGTTGGTTCTCGGACGCGCGAACAATTGCCCGCGCGTCAATGAGGCGTACTATTTACCGTAAAAGTAACGTTCTATTTAATCACGCTTGACAATACCTCGTGCCGGTGCTTTCGAGCGCGACCGAACAATTCCGGCCTTAAATAGTTTATCGTCTTAAAAATCGACCGAACGGATTTGGTCAAGAAGCGGCCTGTCTCGGCATTTACGATCCGGTTTATGTTTTGTGGTGGAAATTGTTTTCGCGTTTCCGAGCCGGACGGTGAAATTTCCTCGGTGAAATCGCTCGCGGAATGAAGCTCGCACGCGAACGCTCGCTTGCGCGTACGAATCGTCGTGAGCGAAGCGCGCGCGCCACTGTCAGTAAATCGATGCGAGAGAGACGACGCGATCTCTCCCTCTCTTCCACAGCCACCCCCGCCGCCTGCTCTCTTCGGTAAGTTAAGCTCCGACTCGATTCAGCTGAGTTCAGTTGCGCCACTCGGCCGTGTGGTTCGCGTGCCGTCGCAAGCTCGCGTCGGAAGCTCCATCGCGCGCGCGAGATATCCTGAGAGCAACTTTCCCGTTTTTTTTTATCCTTTCTCCGCTCGCCGAACGTTTATCTCTCCACCCTTCCCTTTCTTTTTCTCCACTTGTATCCCACCCTCCCACGCTCTCGCCCGAGGAGTGCGCGAAATATACGTACACGAGGGGAAGAAAAGTCCGAAGGTGAGTGTCGCTGAGCCATCGATGTTTCCCCTCGCGGAGGTCAACGCACGTTACAAGGTAAATAACTTATATCGAATACAAAGTTACGTGAAGGTCTCTCTATTCAAGAAATTCAGGATCCCTTGCAAATGTAACAGACGATATGCGATTTTTATTGGGAAGTATTTGCTCCAAGTACTTACAGTTACTTTTAGTATCTTCGAAATCCGTGATTTCCGGTGAGCGCCGGTTCATTCACAAACGCAACCCGCGTCGAGCACGCGGCCGCGTTCCTGCGAACAGTTACGGTCTTCCGTCTCGTAGACATTCGCGACCCTTATCGGCATCCCCGTCGTTTTGGAAAACTCGATTGCACCGACGACATCGGCGCGGTCTGCGCGCGCGGTATTATATCTTTTCCACGCGATCGCGCCGTACAAACCAGGGCATATCCAGCCATCCGTGATATATCGATTTCTCTTGAAGTATACGATGAATTTTAGAGAAGTAGATGATTTTTCGCGAAACTTCCCGAGAAGGAGCAAAACCCACAGGGTATCACGGAGGGAGCCTACCGAGGATGACAGTTTTGGGCCGCGGATTCAAGGCACCATATTTCCAAAAAATGATAACGACTTTTCCAAGGGTGAAGGTATTTCCTGCCTTGGCTACGGGCACTGGACGACTCGTTACTAAGACGCGAGCGACGGCGATTCAGTAAGTAGCCGTGACGTTCGCAAAGACGGGATTAAAAATGCGACCAATTCCGAGCACTGCTCCAAATGGAATGCCGGTTTCGCCGAGCGAAATTCATAAATCCAGGTCAAGACAGGTTCAACAACGGTAAAGATTATTTTTCAAGCATTATTTTTCTCACATTCAACAATATCAAACATTATATTGTTTGCGTAATCCTTTTCCCGAAATTCTGAGATCGCCTATTAGCGGGATGTTAACGCGAGAAAAGTGTTGCCGCGGTTTAATATGCGCTCTCCCCTGATACGTCGATTAGCGGAACGTTTCTATCCTCATGCGGACGCCAAAGTACGCAGATAGTACCTCGTTCTATCCATTTATTACTACCTAAGCATACTTCTATTACCGCGACGTTATGAAAACGCGGAAACTTGCCGCGAACGGGTCTTACGCGCGGATGTCGGAAGAAAATCCCGCGGATCTTTTCCCGTTGACCGAGCGAATCCTCTTTGATCCTCCCTGCAAACTTTATTAGCAAAGAAAAATAGGATCTCATCTTCAAAGACGCTTGTTAAATTGAAAGAATGCTGCGGGGCAATCGAATTATTTCCCGATATCCAGGGGAAGATAGGTTGGAGAAACACCTACTTTGCAACACCTACGTTAAAGTTAACTATCGCCAGCGAGGAGACGACCTTTTCCCTCTTTTCAAATGCCGATCGCGTACGAGGAGAAGCCACGGAGAACGCGCGGAAAACTTTCGTATCAGGACTTACATCATCAGCACGCGCGTTGAGCAAACCGGGAATCAGCGATGTTTTCTTACCTCCTGATTGGAGCATTGGTCGTGAGCACGTAGCCAGTGGTGGCTCCGAAGTCTCATTCATTGTACGTGCCGGCTTGCTCGCACTGAATGAAAGCACATTCGCGGCACAGTCCCGTATTCCGACTGCGAATAGTCGCCGCAGGACGGCTGAATTAATCGCGCTGCTGAAAAATGCGAGGATGCAAAAATTCCTCCCAGCGGGAATCCGGCGGGACAAAAAGACGGACGGATTTTATTTCGCGTTCTTATATACACGACAATATTCGATGTATATTCGAGAGGGTTTACCGAAGCGTGCTATCGATCAGTCGGTCGGTGATATTTGATATTACCGTAGCGCAAGGTGCTTCCTCCGAGATATATTATTTCGGAGCTCAATATATCGCGGTTGCCCGCCCGAGTTATCGTCCGTTCAACAATCGTTGTTACGACGGTGGCTCTATAATTAAAATCACGACCGTTACGTTATTGGATCGTGTGTCTTGCACGCGCGTGCGGCCACGCAAAATTGAGCAAACGGCGAAGGCACGCTCGCGGTCTCCGCGAAGTACGTGTTCCCCGTCGTCGGCGGGATTGTCGGGAAGTCTCGCAATTAATCAACGGCAACCGGTAGTATCGGTATTTCGCTCGTAATTACAATTGTATTAAACATTGCTCATATCCGTCGTTGTAACGCGCATCGCATCCCCGGTAATAGCAAAGGGATGCTTGGCGGTCAAAGAGCGCATTGGCCCGCGAGGTATCCTTTTAGTTGCGAGCGTCAGCTGCGAAGGGACATCGGGATCGAATCGACGGTTCGTGTACGAGCAACAAAAAGTGATGTTATAATTAATCACGCTGATTTCTCCACTGATCCACCGTGCGAGAAAAGAGACGGATCGGCGAAGAGAAGGGAGAGGGGAAGGAAAGAGAGAGAGAGAGAGAGAGAGCGCGCAGCAATTTTTCTCCGCTACTTTCGTCGCGCCCTATCCGGCTCTCCTATCTAACATCCGATGGACGTTTATCGGCCTTTCGCGTCCCCGTAGCGAGTTAGTTGAGCCCGATTCCGAAGTCCGAGAACACAACCGGGGAGTTTCATCCGCGAACAATTTCAATTCCGTCCGGGATTCCGCGGCCCTCCGAACTACCCGTCGCATTTCTCACCGCCGTCGCCGCCGCCTCTACGTTGCTGGATCATATCAAGGGGCTGTTGTTCAATAACGCTCGTATAAATTAATTCCTCACGAGATGAAAGGCTTCCTGGGCTACGGAACTATATTGAGCTTCCATTCTCGATTTACCGCTCGCAATGGAACTTGGCCGCTTGCGTCTGACCGGCTTGTGGCCGAACAAATGCGAAAAGCATCGCTTTGTGTGTTTCGGGCGAGCATACGGCTGCTATTTTGCGAGCGATGTATTGATTCTTTCTTGATTACCTTCTTTTTGATTAACTCGTGGAATTCTGTGATGAAACATGACGCGAAAAATGCGCCTCGAAGTCCGCGTATGTACCGTCCACGAACCGTGCTCTCGATTTTAACGACGAGCAATTCGATTTGCAATATCTCGCGTGTAATTCGAATGACCTCTCTCTCTCTCTCTCTCTCTCTCTGCTTTTCTCTGTATTTTTCTCTCTCGGCGTCTTTGCCTCGGAAAATACCGCGGCACACGGTTACTGCCGGCACGAAAAGAATTTAAATGGCCCGGCCCACGAGACGTGCCCTTCGGCCCGCCAAGGATTCAGTTCCCTCGACTTTCGCATTAGACCCCGTGTGGTCGGCGCACATATATCAAACCGCCGAGAATAAATTTCACGGCCCACGGAAACTGCTGCCCTGCCTCAAACGCATCTCGTTCATAGATTTCCATCGAACTCGGCAAAAAATGGAGTTTTAGCCCTCAACATCTTTTTTACGACTGCTATCAGACGTGCAGCTGCCACGAGAAGAATTTTTACAATTATCGCTCAATTCTCCAATTGACCTATTATGGATACCCGAAGCGGATCGAAACTTTCCGACACCTGGTGAACAGGCGGAAAGTCGATTCCGATCGGGACGAAGCTACGGGAGTCTCGCGCCGTGATCGGAAAAGGCTGCTAACCCGTTTGTTTCGTCACGTAGAAGCGATGGATCGATTCCGAAGGAGATCCGCGATAGCCGGAAGACGAAATCGCGATCGGAGAAACTCGCGTCTCCGACTGGGCATCGCAAATAGTCCCGTAATGACTCCCCGTCGACTCAGTGAAGTCGCGGAACGGTAGGCGGCGCGGAAGAAAATCGCGAGTGCGTCGGACGCGTCGGGGAAAGAAAGTCGCGTCGCGGAATTTATTTCGGGTCTCGCCATTCCCATCTTTTGTACCATTAAAGTCTCGGAGGGCTTTTACCGGCGTGTCGGCTGAAATTTCGCGGGACGCGCGTGCTCGATTTAAGTGCCAGGTGCCGAACGTGCGAATGGAAGCGCGCAAATACGACGGCGTATCTCCATCTGACACGAGATGGACGTGTTTACGCGTGTCAGACCGCATGAGCAAGGCACACGTTCGCGCGGAGTTTTCTTCCCGAGCGTCCCGATCGGTGGGAATTTCGCGATCGAACGTACACATGCCGATTTTCCCCGTCTCCGCTTCGTACTTTCTTTTCCGTCGCACTCGATAAAATTCTTAGCGTTATTGCGGTCGGCTGCGATAACAACGATGGTAAATTGTGGGCGTATCGCACGCGAATGTGAGATTCCTATCCGATTTGCGTCTTTCAAAGTCACGTCGCTTGTGAGTGTATAATCAGCGGGATCGCGGGATTCAATTGGCTTTTCACTCGTTTCCGCGCGAACGGTCGTCTCCTCGCTGAAGACGCGCCACGGTTTATCGGAGAGCCCGTTATATCTCCACCGCATCTTCCTCGAGAGAGGAAGCTTGTGTAAGTTGCGCGTTTTCCATTTCCCGTACCCCGGGATACCTCGACGTCCAGCTTGACGCTTGTATACGGTTGCCTTTCGTTGCGCCATCCTCTTAATCTGAATTCACCGGCGACGGATATCTCCATCGAGGCCCCTTAACCCTTTGAGTGCTGCGTTGTCCGACGTTAAGCGTGCGCCGGGGACTGCCCATTCTTTACGAAGAAGCACACCGTGGGCTGCGTATTTTTTACGAAAGAGCGCAAGTTGAGCAAACTGAATTTTCATTGCAAAATATATTGATTGTAACTAAAATAAATTATGTAGTGACCTCAAAAGCGTTCATAACCTAAATTGAATGGTTGTGTGAGAACGCATATATGCGTTCATAGCGCTCAAAGGGTTAAAGGTTCATCAGTTATGCATGAAAATAATCGGCGGAAAAGTTGATAATCCGACCTCCTCGCAAATCGAATCCCGAGCCGGCGGTGTATCTGGATAACCGGCCGACCTCAACTCGATTGTGCGATATCACTAACGCCCTCGATGATCTCGAGACTACCGGGTTGAGCAACTACGTGGTATATGTGGTAATGTATGCGCTTGACGTGGGCCGCGCGTTGGAGTTGACGCCAATTTCTCCTGAATCCTGTTTAGCCGGTAATTAATACCGAGCACAGTC